TAGTTAATTAACCTTAGCATTTTCCAGAACAGTCAAGCTAATGTTATACCTTGAAACACCAAACAACATTTTTTAACAATTAATACCATGAAACTAGCATCATTAAAGAACAAACAGTAGTAGCACTTCAAATGTTTGGATGTCTCCTTCCTAACCACAAATGAAATTAGCATATTCTTCATTTATTTTTTATTAGCTGTTAACATTAGACAGAATTCCCTGTTGAAAGTCAAGATTAGCTAGCATGGGTTTAGTATTTGTCATTGATTGTGTTTATACAAAAGCATGTGCTAATTGTTAATTATATCAATCTAATGAGTGTTTGCATTGCAATTTTCAAATGTTTTGCCGAGAATAAATTTTATTTGAGACCACAAGCAGCACTTACCACTTAATGGTATTTTCCTAAAACATGGATTTTGATCTTTAAAAGGGTCAAGTTGAAATAATTCAACTCATTCATATAAAAATATGAATGAAGACAGACATGCTTATTTTATAAATTTAAATGACTTTTTCTACACTAAAACTGAAGTCAAAGATTAGGAATCTATCTTATTCTTGAAAACAGTGAATCAATAAATCTGACTGCATTTCAATCTCCCTCCCTGATCAAATTGAACTCTATTTCTACCTTGGTTAATGACTTAATTAGATATATTTTAAATCCAGGCTTTTCCAGGAATTGCTTTAAGATGCTGTGTAAAACATCATAAATTCTGGCTTCATGCACATCATTAAACAAACCAAAAAAAAAAAAGATTTTAAAAACTATCTAATAAAGTTGTTCAGTTCAGTTGTTCAGTCATGTCCAACCCCATGGACTGGAGCACGCCAGGCTTCCCTGTCCATCACCAACTCCTGGAGCCTACTCAGACTCATGCCCACTGAGTCGGTGATGCCATCCAACCATCTCATCCTCTGCCCTCCCCTTATCTCCCGCCTTCAATTTTTCCCAGAATCAGGGTCTTTCCAAATGAGTCAGTTCTTCACATCAGGTGGTCAAAGTATTGGAGTTTCAGCTGTAGCATCAGTCCTTCCAATGAATATTCAGGATTTATTTCCTTGAGGATGGACTGGTTGGATCTCCTTGCAGTCCAGGAGACTCTTGAGAGTCTCCAACACCACAGTTCAAAAGTATCAATTCTTTGGCACTCAGTTTTCTTTACAGTCCAACTCTCACATCCATACATGACCACTGGAAAAACCATAGCCTTGACTAGACGGGACTTTGTTGGTAAAGTAATGTCTCTGCTTTTTAATATGCTGCCTACATTGTTCATAACTTTTCTTCCAAGGAACAAGAGTCTTTGAATTTCAAGGCTTCAATCACCATCTACAATGATTTTGGTGTCCAAAAAAATAAAGTCTGTCACTGTTTCCACTGTTTCCCCATCTATTTGCCATGAAATGATGGGATCAGATGCCATGATCTTAGTTTTCTGACTGTTGAGCTTTAAGCCAACTTTTTCACTCTCCTCTTTCACTTTTAATCAAGAGGCTCTTTAGTTTTTCTTCACTTTCTGCCATAAGGGTGCTGTCATCTGCATATCTGAGGTTATTAATATTTCTCCCAGCAATCTTGATTCCAAGCTTGTGCTTCATCCATCCCAGCATTTCGCATGATGTACTCTGCATATAAGTTAAATAAGCATGGTGACAACATACAGCCTTGACGTACTCCTTTCCTGATTTGGAACCAGTCTACTGTTCCATGTTCAGTTTTAACTGTTGCTTCTTGGCCTGCACACAGATTTCTCAGGAGGCAGGTCAGATGGTCTGGTATTCCCATCTCTTTCAGAATTTTCCACAGTTTATTGTGATCCACAGAGTCAAACGTTTTGGCATAGTCAATAAAGCAGAAGTAGATGTTTTTCTGGAACTCTCTTGCTTTTTCGATGATCCAACGGATGTTGGCAATTTGATCTCTCATTCCTCTGGCTTTTCTAAATCCAGCTTAAATATCTGGAAGTTCATGGTTTACATACTGTTGAAGCCTGGCTTGGAGAATTTTGAGCATTACTTTGCTAGTGTGTGAGATGAGTACAATTGTGCGGTAGTTTCAGCATTCTTTGTCACTGTCTTTCTTTGGGATTTGAATGAAAACTGATCTTTTCCAGTCCTGTGGCCACTGCTGAGTTTTCCAGATTTGCTGGCATATTGAGTGCAGCACTTTCACAGCATCATCTTTTAGGATTTGAAATAGCTCAACTGGAATTCCATCACTGGACAGACGTTTGTTGACAAAGTAAGGTCTTTGCTTTTTAATATGCTGTCTAGGTTGGTCATAATTTTCTTCCAAGAAGCAAGTGTCTTTTAATTTCATGGCTGCAGTCACCATCTGCAGTAATTTTAAAGCTGAGGAGTGTCCATAGTCCATTCATGTATTTTAGGTTTTTGAGAATGTCATCTCTCAAGATTACCTTTGTAATTGGATGAAATATAAATTCATTTTTAAAGATAAAAACTGACTGTGTCTACATACTTCACCTAGACTGCATGATGACAAACTCTTTTTAACTTGGATCTGACCGTATGGACCTGACATTGGAAAAAACTACCAGAGGAAAAACAATCCATAAAAATAAAAAAATAATAAGGGATCTTTGATAATACTATGTTTTCCCAGATGCATTTTGTTTGAACCTTTGGTGCCTAGATTAAGGCTAAGTACCAGTCACTGCAACAAATTTATTCAAGCAATAGACCTATTAACTATCTAAAACTCTAAAACTATAGAGTTTTAAACTCTATAACACTAAGATGAAAATTACTTAAAATTTCAGAAAGAAGAAAAAATGCAGGGATGTACTTTCATTACACTTATAAATAACATGTTTTGTCATTACTAAAAGTTCATATTTCAACTTACCACATAAAAGATAGGAAGAATTTTATAGAACTAGGAATGGCTATTCATCTCGAATACTCCTAAGAACACATACACAGAGATGCTGATAATTCCACTGATTCTTACCAGTTTTCACAAGATATCTAAATTTCTAAAGCTGAAATTTGGCAATATTCCTTCCATAGCAAGAATTAAATCAATTTAATGGCATAGGGTGAATGTTTGAAATAGAGCTTGACAGACTAAATTTTACCATCAAACCACTGTCTCTTTTTTCCTTCTTCTACTATACTCTGCCCAAAAGAAATTTAGGTATGCTTTGGTAGAAGTCCTGAACACCAGACTAAACAGGGAAAGCTGCCTCTCAAACAAGTACAGAGCCATTATTCTCAAGAGAAAACAATATTGCATTTTTTGAGAAAACATCCTAAGTAAAATGAGTAAACAAAACAAAATACCTATTTGGTCGTATTTAAGAGCTACTCTTGTGAATTCATTTAATAACATGCAGTATTCCTTTAATAATATGCAATAGCACTTGTAATCCATGTAGAAGTATATCTAATACAAGAGGGTTCAATAATTGAAATGATTATGAAATGTAATGAGCAAGAATTCCCAGCAAAGAAATAAAGTTTATGTACTAATGTGGGCAGGACCATAATCAATACAGGCTTTTGGGAAAATCCGTCTTTGGGTGTGCAGGATATTCATTTCCTATTACCATCTTTCAGTAAAGTATCTGTCCCAACAAAAAATGTCTCACTAAGTGGAATGTTAACAGCATAAGAACCAATGTAAAATAGATACTGAGCAAAAGTTCTCCCCACACACACATCCAAGGAAGGCTATTACAACCTCTCTTAGATTTCACTGTGACAGTACACTGATTACCCATCTCTATAAATACAATGTCAAGAGGTGAAAGACCTTGGAAGGCTCTTTTAGGAAAATCTGTTTCCTCTGCCCCTCCCCGATCCTTATATTTATTTTCTCCATACCTATTGTATAAGAAATTTCATCTTGAAGAGAATGCACCTGCTATGTCACGTGCCGTTAACAAGAGTTAACCATTTTGATAACAAACTATATTTTATATTGTTTATCCTGAAATTCCTAAGTTAGCAATGATCCCATCAACATAATCATTCATTTGAATATTTTCAAATGAATGACTTAACATGAATGTTTCACTGCAGATATTATAAACAGTTCCTTTTCTTTCATCCTTGCAGTTTGGATATTACTGACTAATGAGTCATATTTTCTGGTTCGCTTCTGGTGGGTGCAATGCCCCTGGCCTTAGGCAAGGAAGGAGGAAAAGCTCTCTAAACATCATCTGCCAATGGAGGAATCATCACAGAATTAGATATTCTGTGTTACAGTGTTGGCAAATATCACTGTGAAGTGTCGATAGGAAAACTTAATTGTTTTCCACTTCTTTTCTCTGACCTGCTCCTTGTCATTTCAGACACTCAGAATCTTACTTCTCTCACCATCCCTATGCCAGTGGGGTAAAAGGGTTTGATTAACCATGTAAAGTAAAATCAGACTAGAACTAAAAAAGAACTTTATGAATTCTCCCCATTGGCATCAAACTGAAAAGGCAGGATTGGTCATTAAGTTATAATTAAGCATTAGCATTTCAGCAGAAACATTATACCATCACAAAAACAGTGTCTGAGAAAAGCAGCAAAAATCATTTCAGCCAACTCTGGTAGCCAGGAAATTATTTTTGGGCTTTCCCAATTTGTACTCAGTAATGAAGTTAGGACATAACATGACTTTTAGATATTCCCTTTCTGTGTGTCTGTTACATGATCAAGACAGAATACAAGTTTTTCAATCGATCATTAAGTGCATAAATTCTGTCAGAAGACTCATTTCATCATGATCTATAAATGTACTTAAAAACTGCAAAAACATAAAAGTAAAAAGAAAATCACATTAGGATCTTGACATATATAGTATATTGATCAGTGGCACATAAGCTAGAAGCTGGGATATTTTGACAGTTTGAAAGTGGTTCTGTATAGTAACCAATCCATTCTTTCTTCACCATTTAGTTTTTAAAAAACACACACACATGTTCACACAACCGCAAACGCACTCAACCACACACACATAGGTATAAAAAAAAAGAACTTACACAATTTCGTCATTCTGGAACTCGAGCTCTCCGCATGTGTCCTCAAAGTCTTCTCCTCCGCCTCTGGCGGTCCCCTCAATGGTCTTATAGGGAACGATAACATTTCCACGTGCTCCAGATGTCCTCAGTACTTTCACCTCCATGATGCCAATGCTCTCACTCACATGAGTCACAGGTTCCTCAAAAGTAAAGATGCCGGCGTGATCATCATCAAAAATAGTCACGGTGGCAGTGGAGGGAGATCCCAGGCAAGCAAGGGTAGAGACATGACTGGCTTCCAGGATGCCATCTTCCGAGGCTTCCAAAGATACTTTGACGTTGCTGAGATGCACCAGGAAATTCTCATCTTCCTCGAAGATGTCATCATCAATGATGCCAACTCTGATTTCCTTCTGGGTCTCACCAGGCTTGAAGACCACAGTTCCCTCGGTAAATTCGTAATCAGACCCAGCGTTGGCTGTGCCGTCCTCTGTTCTGAAGTCAACACACACAGTGTTGGTCAAATCACCACCTCTGCGGATAACAGTCAGGGCTACTGTGCCGCAGTTCTCCAGACACTGATACGTCCCTTGTTCAAAGAAGATCTTACTGACAGGGTCATTTTCAGCCACTTCCGTGTTGACCTCGTGCATGCTGACAGCTTTCCTGGCTTGGTCTGCTGCATGCCTTTTTAAAATGTTGCCTGCTCCAGTCATCAGGCGGGTAGCTTGAATGCGGTAAAATGCTCGACTTTTTTGCTGCTGACTTAAGACTTGGTAATTGGCTAATTCTATTAATTGCTCTATTTCCTTCTCTGGATGCTTCTGCTTGAGTTCCTTCAGAATCCTTGCCATTTCTCGCCTGGCTTCTTCATCATCTTGGTCCCTCTCATCAACCTCCAGAACCAGGGCTCCATCTAAGAAACTGTCAACATGGGAATTGACCACTTTCCCATCCATTTCAATTTCTGTCTTGGAAGATGGCCTATCTCCTTCGTGTTCAATAATCATTCCCCTCTGCTTGCCAGCCCGATATCTCTTGTAGACATACTTGTAAAACAGAAGCCGCCGGTCTGCCACCCAAGCAAACACAACGCAGATGGGGAAGAAGAAGAAAGTAAGCAAACCTTCCCAGACCTCCACGACCCCAGGAGAACTGACAGACAAAATGATGTAAAGCCAGGTATAGGCAAAGATGCTCCATGCCGCTGTCACAAAGAACACACGCAAATGCTTGATCTTCCTTGTCTCCCCATCTGGGACGACATATACACAAAGCGCGATGATGATGAACATGTTGAATGCAGCACTCCCTACAATGGTGCTAGGACCAAGGTCTCCTGCAGTGAAGTTATGGCCACACACCTCAATTACTGAAAGGAGGATCTCTGGAGCTGAAGATCCCAGGGCCATCAAGGTCAGGTTGGACACTGTCTCATTCCAGATCCTCACAGTTGTCTTGGTGGTCTCTCCATTGGGTTTCTTTATGGTGATTTCTTTCTCTTGAGACGTGATGACTTCTATAGAGGACATGAACCGGTCAGCAATGATCGAGACGCCAAGAAACATGTAGACCATGGCCACAAAATACACAGTCGCTCTAGCAATTTTGTCCCCAAAGGAAGGGTCCTGGGGCTCCCAAATGGGTAAAATCACCCCCTTCTTACAGTAATAGGAGCCAGTACACTCGCCAGTCTCATTGCCTTCTCCTTCCATTTCTGTCTCAGCACTTATATGGTCCACGTGGGAAAACACGAGGGCCACCATGGCTAACACATGAAATCCCATCGACAAGGTGGGTGACAGACTGAACTGCAGCATGCTGGACAATGGCAGAGTTCCAACTGTCCCAACCTACTGGGGAGAATAAGAAAGGGGGAGGGTGGGGGAAAAAAATCACATTATTAGATCCAGACCCAAAGCACTCAAGTGACCCAATTATTTGTATTACATTTACCAATGATTTGTTTATATTTGACTATCACAACATCTATGGTGAATCATGACTGTAAGAATCCATCTGTGATAAAGCAATCCTTGGTAATGTTTACAGCCCAATCTCTCCACTTGTGGATTTTCTACATGTAGCCCCATTTACTGAGCAATGAGCAATGTACACAGCTGACTTACTGGAATAAAACGTTCAATTATATCCTTGCCTTGTTGAACACACATGCATGCATACTGACAGCCAATGAGAAAAAACACACAGTTTTGACGCATTAAATAATTTTCTCCTTGTTGCTAAGGCAGATTTCCTTTTAAACTCTGGTTAACACAGCCACCTTCCAAAAATGGTTTCATTGCCAAAATCACATTAAGAGCAATGCTATGAAGTTCAGACTCTAAAAATCCTGCAAATGCATGACTTGGTGATGATCTTAAATTCTGGGGTACAGTTTACACTGTATTTAATGCAATTGTGTCCTATGGCTCATGAGGGTCACTTGGACTGCAAGATCAAACCAGTCAATTCTAAATGAAATCAACCCTGAATATTCATTGGAAGGACTGATGCTGAAGCACCAATACTTTGGTCACCTGATGTGAAGAGCTGACTCACTGGAAAAGACCCTGATGCTGGGAAAGACTGAAGACAAAAGAAGAAGAGTGCAGTAGAGGATGAGATAGTTGGACGGCATCATAGACTCAATGGACATGAATCTCAGCAAACACTGAGAAATAGTGAAGGACAGGGAAGCCTAGCATGCTGCAGTCCATAGGGTCACAAAGAGTCGGACATGACTTCGCAACTGAACAACAAACTTATGGATCTTAGAACCAGAGAAATCTTCCAGCTTGCCTACAATCAAAGCTCAATGGTATTTGCACTTGAGGGAGGAAAAAAATCTGTTGTAAGGCAATATTTCCACACGTTAAGTATAGTTTTTAAAAGCATGTTTTGATGAGAGCACATTTCCTCCTAATTTTCAGCAAGACCAGGTCTACTGATGCATTAGCAGCTGGGCATCTGGTTCTTCGAGCACTGCTCTTCATATCTGTGTACAGATCTCATTCTAGGATCTGCAGGCTGCCCATGGCAGGAAAGGGAGATGAGCAGGCCCAGGTCTAGGTGTGTGTCTTGCCCAGGTTGTGCCTGACAGGCTGTGAAATCAGCGTTACCAGCCATAAAATGTTCCTTCTCTGTGTCAATGTCAGACTTCTCATGGCCATTCTAAAATACACATCAGTTTTATAGAGGGCTCAAGTGACCTAAAAATACAAGGGCAATAATTCCAACTAAATTAGATCATGTGGCAAAATGACAGTGACCAAAAGTACCTATGGGATTAAAGGGCCTTAGGCAACTGGGGAAATGGCAATAGCATCACTGGTGGGAATCCAGGTTCACGGAGGCTCCAACTACCACTCTGATCAGGTAATCAAGGTTTGTGCCTCTCAGTGACCTTGTATCACCTCTGATTCCAAGGTTTTGGTGATGGTGAGTGGGGTGGGGGACAATGAAGCAAAGAAGGATCTGCTGCAAGTCAGGGTGACTCTGGTCTGGAAAGCCAATTATAACATCCAATGATGTAGGGACAAGAAGGGTCCCAAGTCAGGTCTTAGTCCTGTGGCCTGACATAAAGTTAAACGTAGAGCTGGGTTAGACCCCTTCGTGGCCTCAGGGTATCTGAGTCACCCCCACATTTACCTACTCTCTCTACCCTAGGCTTATTGCTGATGGCTTATATTGAAAACTGCACCAGGACCCAGGAGAACCCCTACCTGGCCCAGCACCTTCTGGCATCACCTAAAGCACCCCTCCTCCCCTTTTTAAAGCTCATCACTACAGGGAGATAAGCTTTGATATTTTCCTCACACTAAAGAAGACACAGCAGAGGGCTGTGGTGCTCGAACTCCATTCTAAGTAAAAGGTCGAAAGACAGAAGAAACATATTTTCAAAATATGCAGAAGTTCATGGTCCGTGTGTCTACTTGTTCAGTCATGACTGGGCTTGAGTAGGTTATAGGATCTCTTCTTAAAACAAGGTAATCCTGAACCATCCCTGGAGGAACAGTGGCAGATTTAGTTCTAACTCCCTTGCAGCAATTTATTCCACAGGTTTATGAGAGCTGCCCAGAAAAATTTTAGGACATGATGAGCTCTCTTCTAGGTCCTGAGAATTCATCAGTGAATTTGTTTTAAAGTCTCTATCTTTGCAGACCTTATATTCTAATGGGGAGGAAATAAACAAACAAATATAAATGTCAGGTGGTTAAAAGTACTGTAATGGTGGGGGGTAGGGAGCAATTTCAATAGGACGGGAAGTCTGTATGTTACAGTGTCTGGGCCAGGCTGTATGTGTCGGCATGTGCACACACATGAAATGCATGATTTTATAATGGGCAGTTTAAAGAATGCCTCACTGATAAGGTGCATTTGAGCAAAGTCTTGAAGGCAGAAAAGGCCCAAGCTTCGTGGATACTTGCAGAAGCAGAATTTCACGTTAGGTACAAAGACCTTGATGAGAATTGTGCTTTGCATAGTCTAGGGACCAGGAAGAAATCTGGGTGGTGAAAGAGCAGTGATGGAAAGAAGCAGGACTCAGGAGCTAGAAACAGTAGGGATGGATCACGAGGGGCACTGAGGCCACTGTAAGACATCGGCATTGACTGTGAAGGAGATGGGAATCACAGGGAGATCCCAATCAGAAGTGTGGTATGAGTTGATTTATCTTTTAAAATGATCTCTCTGCTGGTTCACTGAAGAACAGACTATAAGGGCAAGAGAAGAAAAAAGGTAGCCAGCATTTGCCTCTGATTAAAAAAAATGTCTGATCAAGGCAATGATCCCGATGCCTTGCAGGTATATAAAATTATACAGTAAAGATCTAAAGTTTAAAAGGGCGAAATAAACATTTGCAGTGATCCTTTTGGAAGATCTGTAACTTAAAACATTTTGGTAACCTGTAAGGATCAGAAGAGTTGACTCATTGGAAAAGACCCTGATGCTGGGAGGGATTGGGGGCAGAAGAAGGAGACGACAGAGGATGAGATGGCTGGATGGTGTCATCGACTGGATGGGCATGAGTTTGAGTAAACTCCAGGAGTTGGTGATGGACAGGGAGGCCTGGCGTGCTGCGATTCATGGGGTCGCAAAGAGTCGGACACGACTGAGCAACTGAACTGAACTGAAGGATCAGAAAGGTTAAAGAATTTGCTCAGAGGGAATAGGACAGAACACACAGAGCCCACCCGAACAGACAAAGCTGCGCCTGTCTCCAGGGAGGATAGGATGAACCACTCCCTTGAAATTGCTGCCAAGGCTCATCATTCCATTCCTCACATCTCAGCCAAAACAAACCTCCCAAAATGCAGATCACACTCTCTCACTCCCCTTAAAACTCTTCATGGCCTACTGCCCTGATGACAAATGCAAACCCCCTCAATAGGCTATTTAGACCTTTCCGGATCTGGCCTTTGAGTTCTAAAATATGGGAATTCTCTCAATTTCCTGAACATACAGCACTTTCTTACCTCCAGGTCTTTGCGTATTGTGCTTTCTGTGCCCTGAACTATTTTCCTTCTTTGAAGCACGTTTCAAAATGATACCACAGCAAATCACAAATCACAGCTGATTGCCTGAGATGGTAATCCCAGGCTCCATTATTAAACACTGTCCCAGACACCATGCTAAATTTTTTCATCTATCTGTATCTAATTATTATATATAATACTTCCAGGAACCAGCACTGCCCTGTTCTACAACTCCTAATGTTGCCGTTTGCATTAGAGTCTATGTGAATAGCACCCCTAACAATATACTATAAGCCTGTTTGTAGATGGGAAGACTGCGGTTCAGACCGGTTACACACTTGCTGAAAGTCAGACAGTAACTAAGATTCAAAGCCCGGTCTGTCTCTGAGACTGATGCAATTCCCTGCTCCATGCTACCACACCTGAGAGTGTATACAGTGATCTTTTGAGAATGATTCAGTTTGGGCTTGGACTAGCTAGGTGGAAAACCTCTTGGCTTCCATGTGGGGTTTGGTAGCAAAAGTCCCATGAAAGGTTTCCAACAAGCCTAGTTTTACCTTGCGGATGGCAGACTGACACAGACAGATACCCACAGCTGGGAAGTAACCTGTGAGCTGAAATGTTCCTGGAGACAACAGGCTCCCACTCTCCCACGTTTTAGCAATCACCTGGCAACCTCTTTTGCAAATACTCTCAGGGCAATCTCTTCAGTCTGCCAAGAAGAAGCCCTGCCCCAACCAACATCTCCCAATATGCTCCCAGCCCAAAGGGTATCAATTATCAACGTCTAAGGGTGGACAGAGCAGTTAAAAAAAATCCATCATCGCTTTTATATAAAAAGGAGGGGACTTCTGAGATTAACTCAAAAATGTCACAATTATATTCAAAAGGTGGTTTCACAGTAGTCTAATTTGCGAGGTCAGTGGACCAAAAAACACTGCTATAGCTTACTGGTCGTGAAGCAACTGGAAAGAACTCTCTGGACTTCAGTTTCTTTCTTTATTAAATTAACACCAAATCCAAATGCTTGTGAGGATATGGGGTTTCTTTACCACTGAGCCACCAGTGAAGCCCTGAGGATGTGGGTTAGGTGTCATCAAAAAATGAGTCCTTCTTCATTTTTTTCCTCCATGTTTTGTCTCCATTCTGATGCCTCAGTCATCAGATGCGAACAGATCTGACTCTTGCCACTGTCTCCTCAAATATTCATTTCTATGAAAATTAAGCAGCAAATAGCTGTTGATGTATTAGTCTGCTGCCTGACCTTCTAATCTTTCACCCTGATCTACTGAACTCTGAACAAGGGGTAGTCTGATCTTCACAGTGGTTTCAGATAAGCCCTT